GATACTTTAAGACTTTTACTCAAGTAATAAGTTAAAGGAAACTTTAATTTTTACCTAAGTAATTTTTTGGTAAGATACTTGTACTTTTACTCAAGTAATAAGTTAAAGGAAACTTTAATTTTTACCTAAGTAATTTTTTGGTAAGATACTTGTACTTTTACTCAAGGATCACTTTGTGGTACTTTATACAACACTGAACACTAAAGATATGTAAATTACGAGAATAAATTCATAATATTACGAGAAAAAAGTTGTAATTTTATGAGAACTCCTACATGAATAAGCAGTCGTTATATTGTGTTATTGGTGTTATTTAACTCTGTGGGTGTATTTGATAAACTGAGGCTGGATGGCGTTGCAGGTCATGGCTGCATTGACAGATCACATAATGTGGATGGAAGGTTATTAAACAAACACTGACACAAAAGTAACTACAGACTTCATAAACAGCGACACACATAGTTTGTCTCAGGAGCAGAAAATGGAAATGTCGTTTAAAATTCTGACTTTTTTATATCATTAAAAAAGCTTATATGTAGGATGCATACATACTGTAATATTAAAGATTAGTTCGAACATACTGTACAACCTTTATGAGTAATTTAATCATAAGATTTTCATAAGTCTGCATAAACTGACAGGGCCTTTAGAGTGTTAAATCCATGAGTTAAACAATAAGGAGAGCATGACGTCCTCACCCTGAAGATCTAGTTTGGGTCTGAAAGAAAGCTGGGTGTGTGATTGATCTTTTCTGTTGAATGCAGCAGGAGGTGTTGTGTGTTGACAGAATGTTACAGCAGGCCTTATGTGAGGATGATTGCGCGCTTAAACCTTTGTCTTTGTTCAGCTAAAGAAGGACGGAGGGCAGCAGTCGTCCCTGCAGCAGGTCGTGCAGTACGGACTTGTGCTCTGTGAGAGCCTCTTTGACCCTTATCAGACATGGAGGAGACGTCTGGCGGGGTGAGTGTGTGAGTGTGTGTGTGTGTGAGTGTGTGTGTGTGTGTGTGTGTGTGTGTGTGTGTGTGGGAGGTGGATTCCACTCACAAAGGCTGCCAGATTACGTTGGGATTTTCATGCCTCGCCCAACCTCCCGTAACGTGCAACACCTCGTCTCGTGGCTCAAACGCCTCGGAAACAAACCGGCGTTCGAGGCGGTGTTGTTGGTGACTAATGGGAGTGTGGTGACTCAAGGCTTTTGTGTTTCACAGGGAGGAGGTGAGCCTGATGGAGAGGAACAAGTAYAAATTCTCCCCGCTGGCCTTGCCAGAAGAGTTGCCTGCTCTGTTTCATGGTGAGGCGCTCCCTTTCAGCTGCTTCTTCAATATCCAAACCGTCAAAACATTCAGGCGACTTCCCAAACTGTTTCTTTTTATTAATGAAAGCAGCATTCATTGATAGAATTCACATTGCAAGTTTAAAACAAAAACAACAAAAAAATCTGTTGTTACTCAAAGTATACTTATGTAGAAGATCCTCATCTACCACCAAACCAAAATTTACGCCAATATTTGTAAAATTTGCTGACTTCTAGCCATTTTCATGTTTTCTAATTTTGGTTATCTATAGCAACCATTTTAAATTTCATTAATTCCAAAACTTATTCAGCTTTAGACTTACATCGAGTGATTAGTTTCTGAGAGTTTCACTCAAATTCATCCAGTGGTTCATGAGATATTTTGCTAACAGACAGTCGACATTAACTTCAGCGGTTGTTGCCAAAGTTTTAAATAAAGATCTTGTGTGATCTTGCTATGCTAGAATATGTGATGGGGATGAATCTCAGGTACTACCACACCAAAGTTTAGCTCAATACTTTTAGCAGTAACTAAGTTACGGCCATTTTTGTTTTTGCTTATGTTGATTAGCTGTGGCGGCCATCTTCATTTGGTTTGACTCCAAAAGTTAATCAGTTGTACTTGTGCACCCAAAGATTACTTTCTGAGAGTTTTATTAAAATACGTCCAGTGGTTCATGAGATATTTTGCCAACAGACAAACGACTACATGCACTTACATGATCACCTGCACAAATAAGTTTTCCATAAAGCTTCTGGTTCAGTCTGATGAGTAAAAACTCAGTTATTCTGTCTGATTATCAGGTCTCCATCTCTTTGTTTCTAATTACTGAACCCCTATAAGTCATGTGGGAAATCTCAGTTTGGGTAAGTTCAAGTATGCTCCGATTTTTAAGAGGATTATTCTGTAATAATGAGCTTTAATTGGAAATGTTAAGCACCGCTTACGCAACCAATTAGTGAGGCTTTTCTCTTTGAACATCAGGCAGAACAAGGGAACTTTGTAAGAAAAACACGTTTKCAGGTCAAAGCTGCTGTATTGTTTAAAGCTTTTGTTTTGAGGTTTTCCATCTGTTTTTCTTTCTGATTATTAGTTTATGCAAAATTTATTTTCCTGCATTCTTCATTTAGCTTGAGGTAATTTCAAAATTTCAACCCATTAGTCTCTGTTGAAATCCTGGTCTTTGGTTTTGGTTTTTATAATGTGAAAACTTAAAAACCATTCATACATTGAGATCATCGTTTCTTCTGCAGGTTTTTCAACACGTATCTTGTTCTGCGATTTTTTGTGCCATTTCATTAATTAACATATCAAAAAGTTCAGGTACTTTAGGTCATTCCGGCTACTACTGCTGATATTTCAGCAATTTATACGTTTTAGAGATACTTAGCAATTTCAACCCTTCAAAATGTCCATAAATATTTGATGTACTTTTTACCTTTTTAATCTGGTTCTGTTTTTTTTTTTTTTACTTCTTTGTGCTAATTTCAGACTTCTATTTTGGCAATTTTAACTCTTTTCTACTTTTTTAGCTTCCATTGTCGTCATATTTTCTGCTGTTTTTCTGCTAATTTAAACTTTTTGTTCTTCTTTCTGTTATTTTAAGCTTTTTGTTTTTTATCAGTCGATTTCTTCTCATTTCAGCTGTTGTCTTTGTTTGTAGCCAATTTGAGCTTTTTTCTGCTAAATATCCATTTGTGATAAATTCAGCTTCTTAAATTGAATAAACATTCTCTTTCTGTTTCTTTGTGTTTTATTTTAACTCTATTTCAGCTACTTTTTAAAGCTATTTTAAGCCCGTTTCAGCTGTTTTAAAGTGCCTGTGACAGGCATATTTTTCAAATACAAAAAGTCAAAGAAAACATCTTTACATTTAAGAAARTTGGAATAATACACACGATTTAACCCATTTTGTCACATAACTGGCATATTTTCTTTTGAACTTGGCTCAGCCAAAGTGAAACAGGAAGTGACATCAAAGGGGAACTCTTTAACAAAGAAAACTCTCTGGTCTTTGTTTATTGAAACAATATTATTTGAACTCTGACACTTCATCTCTCTGATAGTGACTCAAAATGATCTTAAGAAACATCAGATTCTTCTCTACAGTCTGTGTTGTTGGCTGTTAGCAATGCTCTGTTCACAATGCAGACATTCCCCTTTGACATCACTTCCTGTTACTTCACAGGCAAATATCTCAACAACTGTTCATCTCAGTGACATGAAATTTTATTTGCAATATTTTATCAATGTCCTCTTTCTAAAAATGCATTCATATGTATTACAAAAAGTTTGAAGTCACAGGCACTTTAAGTATTCAGCAAAAATCTTCCAGCATTAAAACTCTTATGACTCTGCATTTTCATAGGAAATGCAAATTCTTTAGTTTTTTTTTTTCAGCTGGCATTATTACAGTTAAAGAAAATACGTTTCAGGATGTCAACAGTTATAAAGACTGATTCAAGATAATAAAAATATTTTCTAGAGACTAGTGAACCGTGAAGTAGAGGTGGTATCTGTTAAATAACAGAAATGATTCCTGTATATTTTTAGATTTTGCCAAATGTTTGATCTAACTGATTTAAAAGTTGGACAGTTTATCATTTTATCCAGCCCCAAAGGCAATATTTTAAGTGATTTATTTATTTATTTATTTATTTATTTATTTATTTATTTATTTGTATTCAGGTAGCTTTTCTTCTGACATTTGGCCACTACGTTAAGCCAAGGAAATCAAGTTGGAACTTTTCAGTAATCTTTGATTTTGGTGTGAAAAGAGCAACAGAGAATTTACTTAATTATCTTTCTCTGCATTATTTTCTTATTTTAAAGCCAAATAATTGGATTTTTAGTAAAGGTTGTCTTTTTTTTCACAATTTTCTAGTTTTTGATGAAATGTGTCTTTAAAAAAAGGAAAAATTAGTTGATAGAGAGTAAGGGTATTAGAAATGAAAGCTGATGATGAGTCTTTCTAAATTTAACCTTTTTTCTTTATCCATAATGTATGTCCAAATGCTACATGAAACCTATTTTGAAAAGTCATTTATATTTCTTTAAGAATAATTTGTTAGAAAACAATATTTCAGTAAATATTTACAGAAATTAGCTGTTAGCTGTTAGCTCGGACCTTGAATTGGCTCCCTGGTGTAACTGAGTTTGACACCCCTGGTTTATCAGAAGAAATTCAGTAATCAAAGAGCCAACATGTCTCTGAATGTCAGGTGACTTCATTTTCTGAAAGTGCAAGAAGACGCGAGTTGATTATTAATGTAACTGTTGAAACACCTACACAAACAGAAATGACATGCTTTGTTTGACCTGTGCTAAAGTCTCTGCTGGTTTTCTGTTGGAGGTTAACTGGGCTCTGCTCCTCTGACACAGACAGTCTCCAGGAGAGCGAGAAGATCCCGGAGCTGCTCACGCTCCGGCTGGTCCACCTCCAGGGGGCGGTGATCAGCGGAGGGAAGGTCTGCAGCTGTTTCTGTTCAGCTCACCTGGAACCGTACGACTACAGGTGCGTGTTAACAGTTTTTTTTTTCTTTTTTCAGAAAAACGGTCTTCTCTCCATCAGTCCTCAGTCCGTCGAGGACCTGTTCTCCGTCCTGCGCGGGTGGTGCTGCCGGACCTCCCCCGATCCCAAAAGCACCCGTTTGCCCCGGCTGACTCTGCGCTGCCTGACGGCGATGATCCACCTCCTGCACTCCAGCAGCCCCGCCGAGCGGCAGGTGGAGATCAGGACCATCCTGGAGAGCTACTTCCTGCTCCTCAACTGGAACCGTCCGCTGGGCAGCGACCAGGAGGACCGGCTGAGCTGGGAGGGCAGTCTGGTCTCACTCCAGAGCCAAATGCTGAGTAAGAATCCTGCTGCCCGTCCCGGCCGACGTTACGATTAAATAATACAGGTCAAACCTGATCTGAGATGTTCTGCACAAACCCAAGGAATGACTCTCAGCTACTACCATATTAGCTCCATGTGACTGAGTTTCAACCATATTGGGGTTGATTAAGCTTGATTGGCTCTGGCAGCCATCTTGAATTAAGTTGACTGCAGAAGCTGTAGATCCACATCTAATGATTACATTTTATCACAACTGAAGAGGCTAGCTTTAGCAGTTTTCAGCTTTGTTTGCAAATACGGAATAAATAATACAACAAGTGAAACATGTTGGTTAGATTATGCTAACAGCCTGATCATAGGCGTAATTTGCAGGGGGGTTATGACCCCCACAATAATGTGATCAATCAAAATAACCTCCCTAATAAAATTACATAATTTGCTTGAACACAATAGAAATTAACTGTTTAAGTAGGCAGATGCACCTCTCTTGTTGTCTTTAGGTATTTTTAAACTGATTTAAAAAAATTACGATGTCATATATGTATGTTTAAGCATAATTGCTAAAAATAACATGCAGGTTTTAGAGCATGCCCCCCCCAAAAAACAAAAAAATTCAACTCCTCAAACAGTAACTCTTACAAATACAAACGATACAATTTCATATTTCTTTAACAATTAAACTTTTATCGTTCTCTTTAACAAACTAATTGAGCCAGAATTTTTACATTCATAATCCAGATTATTCCATAATCTTATTCCTTTGACTGAACTATATCTGCCCTTTAAATTTGTTCGAATTTTAGGTTTTACAAAATATTCTAGTCCCTTAAGATTATAGCAACTGACAACGCCAAATTCTGTCGTGGAAATGATTTACCAATAATGCAGAAACACGTTGGAAATAAATGCACAGAAAGTCTGCGTGTACGGTCGTCAATAATTTAATTCTGAGCGACAAACAAACAGAACTCAATCAGGAAAATCTGTCGGCTTGTGGCTGGCTTCGTCAGCAGAAACAGCCAGTAATATAACATTATGTTAACACCATGTGACAGTTTACAACCAATCACAGATCGACGAATGT